TAATCTACAAAAACACACCATATCAAGAACTTCTTTTCTGCAGTAAGCTCTATCAGAAATCAAAATAAGATCCTCCACAACAGGAACAGAGACTTCTTCGTATTTGCAGGCAATGAGCATAGCTGTCACTCCAACGAGCTGGAGTTTCTTTCTTATCACTGGTTGGATGGCTAAGAATCTATCGATGAGACTAACAGTTAAATATAACGTCTCGTCCATCAGTTCGAACTTGTAATGCACCTATACATAAAAAGTTAAGTTAATCGAGTTACAGAAGTTATTTTGTATAATAAACTTTGAAGGTCATGTAATTTCATATACCATAAACGTTAAATTTAATCGAGCTATAAAAGTTACTTTGTATAATTTCATAAACTTTGAAGGTGTGTAATTTCATATACCTCAATCAGCCAGTCGATAAGAATACCTCTCATCCTTTCATTGATGTCAGACTGCTGTTCCATATAGTTTGGTGGGACACAGCTACAACTCTGTAATCAAAATTAAGCAATGGGGAAGAATTGATGGCTTTAGCATTTAGTATAATAACTCAGGATGCAAGTGATTTAGAATACTTGTAAAGTTGTGAAAAGGAATCTAGTTAATTCAACTGAACAAGTCACCTATATGCTCAAGGCAGCTACAACTCTGGAATCAAAATTACGCAATGTGGAAGAATTGATGGCTTTAGCATTTAGTATAATAACTCAGAATGCAAGTGATTTAGAATACTTGTAAAGTTGTGATAAGGAATCTAATTAATTCAACTGAACAAGTCACCTATATGCTCATGTTTGGATTACTTTCTTACGAAAGCAAAAAAATGTTCCTCATTTTGACAATAAGTATTACTTTCAAATAGGTAGCTTAAATAACTTATGAAGATTAGCAAGCATGCAGATGAGATGAGATTGTAGTCTTGTTTTCACTACAAATATTTCCGTTCACTGTGCATGATAAAGCATAGTCAAGTTCAATGAGTGAAGTAGCCAAAAAACATCATCTCTTGTAAAGAATTAAGAAATCCATACAATTCATTTGAAGATCAAAAAGCAAAGATTGATAATTCCAAGAAGTAAAACAAAGAATAGTTCACCTCCGTCTTTTTGTAGTAGGCATATATGTCGTCAATATATTCGACAACTGCAAGTGGATTCTTCTTATCAGCACTATCTATGTCCACAACTGGCTCCTCCTCGTCAATTTCTTCCATTTCAATTTCCGCATCCTACATGAAAATATGAGGTCAATGATTCCATTCAACAGAGTAACCAGTGACAAGTTGCCAGGTTAAACAGAAAACGATACCATTCGATCAATTTCTTCGAGCATAGCTTCTGTATGTTGCACGGACATTGGGACATCATAGTCACCAATTACTTTGTAGTCCTCTGCATCAACAATGAGGCAGTCTACCAATTGACGTGTATTGGAATCTTCTTGTTGGATTGATGGCTTGGTTTCCTACAATAACACAGTTTAATACATTTTAGGCACAATAACAACCCAAAATATTCTGAATGCTTTGTTTTGGCTAAGATTAAAACAGTTGCTTATAAGTACACTAGTAAGCTTTAAAGGAAGTATATTTTACTCCTTCAAAACTGGAAACAAATATGTTACTTATATTGACGAATAGTAACTTTCATATGAAGTAGCTTTTCTAAAAAAAGTAAATTATCCAGATACTTAAAGAAACCAAAGTTATTTTTACTTCTTTTTGTGAAGCTTAGTCAAACATTCACTAACTAACAACAAAACTTAAGAGCTTGTTTGGGAGAGATTAAAATCAGATTAAAATTGAAAATATAGCCGTTATTGTTGACTTTTATTAGACAGGTGGGACCCAATAACGGCCATATTTTCAATTTTAATTGGATTTTAAGCCCTCCCGAACGGGGCCTAAGTTTCTTTTTTGGAAAGAAACCATACCTTAATATATGGATGCTGTTGTTTGCAAGCCATTTGTGCAGCAAACTTCCTGAACAAGCACCAAGAATCAGAACACAAGTATCGAACATGGTCAAACTATTGTCGATTTACTGCAGATTAGTATCAATTATTTTCTCTCCTCTTTGCCATGTAAAACCAAAAATAAAGATTTTTTTTATTTCAAAACAAGAACAAAAGAGAGATCAAATTAACAAACCTAGTGATGGGTCGGTGCACCGGAACATCAGGTTTCTTGTTACTGATAGCATTTTTTCTGGAAAAGATCAACAATTAAAAAATAAAATTAAAAAGGGCTACTCAATATTAGCATGAAATTAAAACCAATCACGATTAAACATCGAAGATTAGTGATTAAGGGTTTCATACTCTGTCAAGACACCTCTCTTGTGAACAACAGATGGGTAAGGGGGAATTCCTATTATGTTCTTATTGATTGCAGTCAATGCCCTTCTACTATGTCCAAATGCCACTGGAAGCTTTTCACCTCCAGGCCTCAATGCCCCTATTGATAAAGAATAAAATTATACATTTTTTTTCCATAATTAGGGTTTTATGACAAAAGATTTTTAAAAAAACAAAACAAAAAACGCCCAATAAATGAATTTTTAAATTTAAATTACCTTGAATACTTGATGGCCTGATCACACCCGGAAAGTTCTCATCTAATCCAGCCATATTTCTTGCAGTCTTTTGAAATTATCTGTAGAAATTTGGAGTTTTCAATCATAACCCATCAGAGAATCCTAAAATTTCATCAATAAAAATTAAATTCACTAATAAAATGATTGATTTAATAAGAAATCGTCAATCAACGTTCAAGGAAAAAAAAAACCCAGATCATAAAATTTGATGAACAAGAAAATAAGCGTCTAAATCAAGAAAAATCCACAAGAAATCGGTAGGTAAAATTCAAATTAAAAAATCCACTCACAAAGGATCCTCAACAAAAAAGAGAGAGAGGGAGAGGCTTTCAAGAAAACCCAATCAGCATCAATCAATAGATCATTGAAAGAAAAAGATAAAAGCCTCTCTCTCTGGGAAGGGGTGGGAGTGTGTTCTTGAAGTTGAATCAGAAGGGTTAGGGAAAATTCTGAGCATACAAACGGCGGATCGATGTCTGCAAAAAACATGCTTTCATAATTTGAAAACTAACGGCTACTTAATCGTAGCCGTTGGATGAAAGGTTGCATATGATTGTTCCGTATTTGGGCTTCTTAACGGATACTTGGTCGTTTGCCTTGTGCTTTTTTCAAAATTCTCCACAACCATTAATTTTCATGCCTTCAAAGGTTTGTTGCATTAAATTCCTTCATTTTCACGGCTAGTTAATAAAACGAAGCTCATGTTTGGTAGAAATAAAATCACGACTAATTTTAACTACACATTTTATGAGATCTACGTCTTTTCAACCCCAAATTTCATCAACTAAATTGGTTATCTGATCAAAACAAGATTTCAGCCGTTGTTTAACTTAGATTTAGCTTTATTAATGATATCACCACGAAAGTAAGGACTATTTAATATTAATTTTAAATGTATTGTTGAACATAATGACATAGTTTGTTGTTGTCTTGGATGATATTTCGTCATTGTAAAAATTGTTAGTGAATTTTATTTTTCCCACGTTTACATTATAAGCATTTTCCAAATCAAGATGAACCACTGATAACTATTTTTTGTACTCTTATTTAGGCCTTTGAGTTAGAATATTTATTAGATATTTTGATGAATAATGACTTAATTCTATGTATATTGTACTTGTTAGGTAAATATCGATGAAAATGACGGAATTGAAGAAAAATGATAAAAAAAAAATGGCTCAATTGCAATAGATCTAAAGTTCGGGGACTAAAGTATAAATACTCAAAAATTATGTCGGATCTTGCACCGAAGACCGGAGAGTAATAGGGGTCAATTTGATGAGAAAAGAAGTCAGATGTATAAAATATAGTTAAAGTATTGTCATATATCAATTTCAAGCCGAACAAGTCATGCTCCAGATTTTTAGCCTCAGATTGAAACCTGTTTTTATCACAGTAAACGTTTGAATTGGAAAATAATATTTCAGAAAGAATTGTAGCTATTTGAGTTAGTTTTTCACCGCACTTTGAATCATTTCAATCGAACATCGGGAGAGAAAAATATAACAAAAATATTGACTGCTTAGAGGCATAACCATGTAATCACATGGTATAACCATGCGAGCGCATGGGTCACCTGCAAGCCTTCTGAGGCTAAACTCCATGTTCCATGCAATCACATGGTTTCCCGACTGGAAAGATTTTCTTTCCTTTTCTCTTGATTCATCTTTGTATGGTATGATATCTTCAACATCTTAACATAGAGGCCGTTCAGAACGTGAATTAGCAAGCTATTATCTCATATTCTATCATCAAAGTGAAGCTTAACAAGAGTCTTGAGAGAGAGTTAATACAAAACGTTGAAGATTCAAGGCTTGAATTAAACGAAAAGTTCGAGAAATTGATTTATCGAGCTTCTACTTTTGTTCTTTGAATTTGGTGATGTCTTTTCTGAACCCTTTGTGTAATTTAGATACAAATATGTTATGCTAAACTTCTTAATGTATTAGATGAATGATGAAATCGTTGATCATGTGTTTTTAATTTAAAGATTAAGTATTTTAGTGAATTATTGTGTTTGTGATTAATTATGCATGCTTATTGTGTTATTTGATTGCTTAGCTACCAATTAAATGACTTGTTGTTTATTATAGTGTTGTGAGACTTACAATAGATTAGAACATTGCATAATTGACACACATACGATAGGTATTAAGAATAATATTTGTGTCATGTGCGATATTGTTGATAATCGTGTGATTGAATACATCTCTTTGTATATGAATTCAAATTAGGAATATGATCGGGTTGTGGTTAGAAAATGTTTAGTTTATCTTGGAAAAAATGATTAAACGATATAAGATTATCAATTGTCATGAACACTTTAACAACACTAAACTACGTAATTCGAAAATTAGAATTAGATGACAATTGGTGAATTTTGAAATCCAATACATTCACTTCATAATTTGATAAAAAAAACTCACGTTTACGCGTTTCGTAGTTTAATTTAAGATAATTACAAAACAATAATAAAAAAAGCAACATCTATTTCGTGTCAGTACGTCAAATTTGATAGAAACTAACACACTATAATTGACACTTATTTCTCATGGGATGATTCACGTAAACTCACTACATTATTACATGTCAACAATTTTGTACACTTGCGGGTTTTGTCCGAACACCCATCACCATTCCTATTTGATTTTTTTTGTTCATCCCTTGGTTTTATATTATACAAGGAGCAATAAGTTTGCAAGTATAATTAGATATTTTCACTAATTTGAAAAGAGGCTGTATTTTAAATTTCTTCTTCCAATATATGATTGATGATCCATTAAGCAAATACATTTTGAACGAGTCGATAATGTATAACATGAACTCGATTAACTTATAAATATTGAATTGTTATAAAAAGGTATGCATGTATTTTGTGTTGAATACAAAAAACGTTGATAAATAAACATTCTTGTCATGTAATAGCTTTTGACTGATTGAAAAACTTGACATTTCTCAAAATAACGCATTTACCGACACATATATATTGCTTTTTTCCTTCAAGTTTGTCATATTTTAGGCATAAATATAATAAGTGGAATTTATTTTGCATTTCATTAATTGAATATTTACCTTTTATGCCGATTATGACACAGTGAGATCAAAATAGAACCATGTAGATAACTTTTCTTTACAAAAGTGATTATCCATTTGATTTTGAAATATTTCAACTTAGTGCAACGGAGCGTGGACGGTGATGCTACCTTTTCTTATCCCTTTCTTCTTTCATGTTTAAAAAGTGATGATATAATAATATTTAGAACATATTAGTATGTAAAATAAAACTCAGCGTCTATTTGTTTCTCATCATTTCAGCATAAAAATGAGAATTGTTACCGTTATATTCGAAGTTGTGGGGCCCAACAAGAGACAAACAAGTCAACAATGGTAGCCGTGGCATTGTGTAACGGTCCTAATTCTTCTAAAATAGGCAAAAAAAAATAAAAGAGAAACAAACAGGGGCTTGGTAGATTATTGTACTACTCGCATCATAAAACGAGTTAAAAGAAAAATGTCACGTGAAAATTCGAGATTATTGAGTAAATTGCATAATTTATGCTAAGACTGTATTGTTCGTTTCAATTCAGCTCATGTTTGATAGGGACTAAAATCAAATTTTGAGTTGATTTTGATAAGATTTGATGAAATGAATGATTGAAAAGTTGTAGACCTCATTAAATATTTGATTAAAATTAATTTTAACTTTGATAAAAAATTACATTTTATTCCTTACCAAATATGAACTCAATCTATTTTATCAAATAATTGTGGATCAAATATGCACTTGAAAAAAAGAAGAAGAAAAAGTCATAGCAAATGATAAATCAATTGATATTTTATTTAGAGAATCTACTTTGGAATTGACAGGGTCTTGCCGACAACGGTAAGATAATTGTCTATTTCCTGGAGATAATACCGTTAGACAATTCATCTGATCGATTCAGTTACTGGACCGTACAGGACCACAAATATTAAATTCCAATTACATAAAAATATGGGGAAAATTGATATTTAAAGTAGTTATAGCACAATTTGACTCACATTAAAATTTTCATTTTCATTCTTTTATTCATTTTTAACCACACATTCTTTAATAAAATAATATTTTTTATTACATTAATAATTTTTCCTTTATTTTCAACCACACATTCTCCATCTATCTACAATTTCAAAATACATTTTTTTAAAATAATGTGACTCAAACACACCCTATACACAATTTCAAAGCTAAGAAAATGATTTTGAAGTTTCAAAAATCAGGTGTTAAGGGTGTGTTTGAGAGATATTATTGAGAAAATAATGTATTTTAAATAATAATATGATGGAAAATATGTTGTTAAAAAGTAAGGAAAGTGTATTGATGTGATGAAAAATACTATTTTATTGAAAAATGTGTGATTGAAAATGAGTTCTGAAAAAATATGTGTCAAACATTAGCTAAATAAGATTTATCAATTAAAAATATTTTATTAATTAAATATGTTAAGATTACAGTTCACAAATTTTACATGTCATAATTTCTTTATCAGTCACAATTTAACAAATTAATAAGTCACTTGTTATTATTCTTCATTCACAAATCACGAATTTTACATGTTACAACTTATTTCTCGATCACAGCTTATTTATCAAATTAATAGGTTACATATTATTCTATGGTCACAAATCACAAATTTTATAGATCACAACTTAACTTATTTTTGGCCCCCATTAAATTTTAATTCGTTTTTCACTTTCCTCTTATCAACCACACATTCTCTCAATAAAAAAATATTACATGTAAATCCAAAAATTCTTCTTATTCTTTAATCATATATTCTTAAAAAAAATACTATTTCAAAATAATTTTTTTTTCATATAATAGAGCTCAATCAATGGCTTATTTCACTGTCACAAATGATCAAATTTATTGATCACAAGTTATTTTTCGATCACAAATTATTAAATTAATTTATCACAACTTGACAAATTGTGAGTCACGATTAAAAATCTAATTCTAATCTCACTTTTTTTTTACGGTCACATCTTGTTTATTGGTCACAAATTATCTATTTCATCGGTCAAATATCATTTATTAATCAAAATCAACCAAATAATTGATCACAAAGACTCTTTCTATCACCACCACACCACCTCAGCACCCCACCACCCCACCACTACAACCTCACGAGCATCGTCAACATTACCACTACCTCACAAGCATTGCCAACATAGCCAGCACCACCAACTATAAACACCACAAACAAAACCCACTTGCCCCCAGGGCATATCTCCCA